TCGCTCGGGAAGGGATGTTGCATCATTGCGCCTCGTAACAGAAATTTAAGGTCACCTCGAAAACTTGCTCAAACGCTTCACTTTTTATTTTTATCATAAACCAGTGATGGCGAACGTATGATACGCGTGTCAAAGGTGACACACCAAGATATTTTTGGTGACACGCATCGACTTAAGTCACCTCACAGCCAAAACCGAGCAGATCACAAATAATCATCACACAAACAACAACGAAAAACAACGGTGCCTATCTTCTAGCAACGAGGTTCAAAATCGTTAATTCGGAGCTGAACCATAGCGAGTCCGTGATCGTACAAGATCGTAAAGCTCGCAACAACTATGGATATTTCTAGATGTGACACGGCACCCGAGTTAAGCTAGGTTTTTTCCCAATTTTGACACACCTGCTTTCTTTTTGATTTCTTGCAAAATGCTTTCTTTTTGTTTCCCTGTTGACTTTTTGTGTTTCGGAAGGTGATTCGAACGGGAAGGATATTTGTTACACTTTTGATGATTGAAATACTCGTACTGTTCTATGATTCAAATATTTCTTACTTATAATACGTTTGATTTGGTTGATATGAATCATACTGTTACACTCTCAAATATTTTCATTCTTAGTCCTTAGTTTTATCTGTATTCACCTTCCAACTCTCCTGCATTGTCACAACCTAGTTCATCTTCCCAGAACCCTTAAATAGCCCTATTTTCTCCATTTCCGCATTCATTCTCCACTCTACCACGCGCACGTCACGTAACGTTAAAATCTCTGTTAAATAAAGTTCTGTTTCTACGCAGCGACGATCCTGAAGTGTTTTAATTCAGTTGTTGTGTCGTGGACTTTGATCAAGTCTTATGACCAGGAGTTCTGGCGCAGGTTAATGATAGTTCTCGCTGGTTCGAGGTGGAATGAAACTTGGTTGTTGGGTTAGATGTTTTTTATTAGATGTTTTTCTTTCGGTTCGTTGATGTAGATGGTTGATAGATGATTTGCTTTCGGTTCGTTGAGGTAGATGTTTAGTTGAAATTCGATTATTCTTTTTTTTTTGACGATGTGTCTCGTGCACTCGTTGCACTGTTAATGCTCGGTTTTCAGGTGTGTAGATGTATATGTAGGAATTAGGTTGGTTCTGATTGGTGGTTGTGTTATGGAGGTGGAAAACGTGGTGTGTTCGGCTATTGGTCGACGAAAACTCTGACCTTTTGGGAGACCGAATTTGTTGTAAACAAATTCGATCCCCGGTAACGAATGTTTTATGGTCTCGAGTGTTTTTGGGATCCGTTGTCCGAGTGTCGCGCTGGTGAGTCCACGGGGGGTATATTGCGGTCTTCCGAACGTCAGCACCTCTGTCTGGCGGACAAATGTGACTAAGTGGCATATTACTATAATCCGCCGAACCGAGACTTTGTTGCGTCCTCATCAGGTCGCAACATCAGTGATACCCCAATATCTGCTCCTAGTTTCAAGGATTTGGAGCAAACCGGGTATCACAATACGATGTCTTAATTTCTGTCTTAGATAATGTGTGCGAATGATTTGGATATTAATACTTTCTTTAAAAGTTGCCAAAGTTTAAAGAAGGAATTTAAATAATTGTCTTAGAAGAAAGAACTTCAGTAGAGTCTCGATTATCGGAGGTGATGTGGACCGAGCCCAACTCGGGTAATCGAAAACTCGGATAATACGAAAAGGTCGATGGGTGTCCATAAATCCTGCAATAAAATCATAAAAAACATTTTGATAATGTAAAATTGATCATGTATTTAAGTTTAATTAACTATTTATCAATGAAATCGTTAATTAAACTTAAATACACGTACAATATTATATTATCAAAATATTTTTTATGATTTTATTGCACGATTTCAGAATTCCCATCGACTCTGAAAAGAAAATGTAATTCTTTAACTTTATCTAAATTCAAAGCATCTCAGATAATACAGAACCTCGGTTAAACGGGACTCGGATAACCGAGACTCCACCGTACTTAATTTCCATGGTTTTGAAAAACCACCGTTCAGTTTAGTCGTTTAGATTCGTTTTTGAAGTGATTACCTACCTATGCATTATTATTTCTTTACTTAACCTTTCGGCAGTCGCACCTAAAATTTTGTACGCGGTACATATTCGGTGCAACATCTCATTTTCACCTTAAAGTTGTTTAAATAAATTTAAATCGCAACACATTGTGCAATAATGCACGTAAACATACAAAATTGATTAAAGGGAAATAAAAATACAATAAATATGCAACTAAATATTTGTTATAGAAGACAAGAAACCGAAATATTAATAATACAGAATAATATTATTACAAGCAATTAAAAAGTATAAACATTTAATCGCTATCAAAACTACGTTCAGTAATATTTGAACATTTTTTACATGTTATTTCGCTATGTTTTCACATATAAAATGATTGCATTTGCTGCACCTGATAGTCGTGGAAAACAAAGAGAAGCAAGTGTACACATATGTATATAAATATTTTCGTCATAAAAATATTTTATTTTTACGTGTTAATGCGTATGAAGAAGCAAAGCGAAAAAACTAACCGAAATAGTCGAAGTAAATATATACTTACATGACTGATTGAGCGTTCGAACGAAAAGTAACATGAACGTTCGCGCCTACATATGTATGTGCAACGCTATAGACCTTGACTGCTTCAGTCCACAATAATTACTGAACGTGCAAAGCAAACCGTTTGTACATGCACTTTTTCGAAAGTGAGAAAGGCAAAGAAGGAATAGGTCAGGTTATAAAAGTTAAGGGTCCCCGTAGATCAGTGTTCTTCAGGAAAAACCGAGCATGTTGTAAGTACGCAGTACAACAGTGCGACTGTCGGAAGATTAAAGATCATTTTGAAATGTTGTTCATCTTACTTTTATAGCAATTTCATGCTACATTTGCCCATTTTATGGGCAAAATAATACCTTCAGTAGATTCATTCGATGACTTAATCCTTCGACAGTTTGTCCATGTGAGGCTCGGGCAGAGTGTCAAGTATCGAACAGTTTAGCCTGAGAGGTACTCGGGCACGGCGATACGTCAGAACAGTTTAGTCTACCATAGATGCTTAAGTTTATCGTTACATGCGTGGTTATCCTTAGTTATCTTCAGGTTTCGTATGACGTCGACTTTTAAACTGATCGCATAAGATTTATTAGTACTACTGTTCACGAATTTATCAGTTTCGAATACTATATTCTATTCTTTACACAAAGTTATATTTTTATTGTTCACAATAAATAGTAATTAATCGTTTAGCATTAGTGACAGATTTAATAGTGACTCAAATGGGTTGTCAAGTAGCGATATCTGTTCAGTTTTATCGTACAATGAAGAAAGAATCTGATCAAGAGTCTACAATTGATAATGATTTCGACACTTGACGGCAACGACCACTACAGCGAAGACGGTTGCATTAGTAACATCTGTCTAGGCAGCATTAAATGTGTTAGTCATGTGTCAGAAAGTACTCTAACTCGGAGTAGGGTGGGCGTAAAATTAATTAAACGTTTCTACGTTCTCGCAACAGTGTATTTTACACGAAGACTATTTCCGCGTTGTCTGAGTGTCGTTCGCAAAAAGTGTGCTTCGAGGGTCTCGTGAAGAGTGTGTACGCGTCGTCCTGCCGATCCCTGTCCACCCCTACGCGAACAGGCCCAGGGAAAAACCCAAAGGGGCGAGTCGTCCCCACCGAGCGCGCTGGGCCTGGCTTCAAGGTGTTCGCTTCACCGCATTCGGGACGGATTTTCTCACACATGTCTGTATACACAATTTCAATGTATAGTACTGAAAGTTTTTTGTTAATATCTCGGAAACTAATGATTAACTGAAGCTAATATTTTATATTTTGGGTCCATCCCAAACCGGGACCAAATTGGGACCGGGGCTTTTTGGAATTACACCCTTAAGTTTCGTTTACTTGTTAATAATTTTATTTTGTATTAATATTATCTGGTATTCGCTACCATAAAACCCTCGAATTACTTAAGAACATATAGGAGCAAAACCTAGTTTATGAAAAAAGATATGAAATCTATGACCAGTATCTGTGTTTTCTCTTTTTTTCCTTGATTCTCAAATTTTATTTTCTCATCATTTTAATTTTTCATACGAAATATAAAGTACATTTCTACTGATTCTTTCACATTGTTAA